TTATTTGTATTATTATTATATAATATATAATTATACAAATTATACAAATAATAATATACATATAATAATAAATATATAAATATAATTATATAAATTATATATATGAAAATTCATAGGAAAAATGATTGGACCGTTTTACTTCGAACTTACACACAAATATATTACACAAATACTATATAAAGTCGACGGAAATAGAAAATTTCGTGAACTTTCCCTCTATCTCTCTTTTTCTCTCTTTCTTTAACTGGAACGTTTCTAAAGACGGAAATAGAATATATCTTGAACCTCTGAGAGGTCACAATTTTACCGGCTAAGGATAACGCATATCCAATTTGACGAATTTTCTGATCAAATAAACGTGGATAAAAATAATACACACACCACAAACACACATATATATATATATATATATATATATATATATATATATATATATATTATATGTTCGTGTAATTGTAATTTTTCATTTACCATAAAAGTGACATTTCAACGTTTTCGTCGTCATCGTCTCACAGTCGTCCAAATGCAAATAATAATATAATATTTTCTAAAAAAAAAAAGAAAAGAAAAAAAAATGAACTCACCTAAAATTTGGTTATCTCGTTCTTCTCGTTCGTCCAAATATATTCAGTCATCTGCATATGATATATATATATATAAATATATAAATATATGCATAGAAAGAAAAAAAACAAACAAATAATAACGCGAACAAAAAAACCCCATCAATTCGTATATTAAAAATAATAATAATAATAATAATAATAATAATAATAATAATACTAATAATTGTATAAATTATAAAACGGCGATAAAATAATAAGAGACAAAAATAATCAATGAATATTATAGAAAATACAATCAACAAAATAAATCATCAAAACGAAATATATATATATAACATACATAACATACATATCTATATATATAATATAAGATACACAATAAAAGACCCAAAAGAGAAAAAACAAAAATGTATAAAAAATGAAAGAAAGTATATGGATGAATAAAAAAAAAAAATTAAATAAATAATAAGAGTTGTGAAACGAAAAGCGATAAATGAAGGAAGGAAAGGAAAATAGAAAATGTTAAGAATTGTTAGGTGAAAGAAGGAGGGGGTGGGAAAGGGAAAAGGGTGTTGTAAAAGTTATAAGAGAAAAGAGCAAAGAAAAAAGACGTTGGTGGCAGCAAATATAACACGTTTGTATATATGTATATGTGTACCACAGGTATCCTATATATATATATATATAATATATTATTGGGTTCTCGAGGGTTCCTCGGGTCTTTCTTACTTTGGTTTTACTCCTACTACCCGTGTCGTTTCATCTTGAAATACAACACAACACTTGACATAGGACAAAGACAAAGATGACGTTGACGTTTAACAACGAAAGACGAAAATGACAACTACTATTGTACATATGTGTGTGTTTGTGTATATGTGGGACAAAGAGAGACACAAAGAGGACGATATGTTGATAAAATAACACGAAGAATAAGAAGAAGTGGAAGAAGAAGAAGAAGAAGAAGAAGAAGAAGAAGATGATGAAGACAACTACGACAATTTAAAGATATTTTTCGTTGTTTTTGATTAAATTCGACGTTGTTTCTATTTTATTATTATTTTTTTTTTTTTCAAATATACAAATCTTTATTATATTTATTTATTTTTCATATATGTATATAGACATATATATATGTATGTATATATGTATATATATATATAGTTAGACCTTGGCTACCAAGGGCAACACTAATTCTCTTCTAGCGGATGCAGCCAAATTACACACCTGCGCACTAAAACCCTGTAACCACGCCTAAGTAAGAGCTACTCGACTCACGCGCTACCGTTTAGAGCGGCTCCATAAGCTGTTAATGTCTCTAACAACTCGTAAGTATTGTATCCTCATAGAAATGTCCTCACGAAAAATCAACGAGAAAAAAAAAAGAAAAATGAAAAAAAGACAAAAATAAAGGAACAAATAAATAAGAAGAGAAATTATATAAGTTTAAAATTGTCAATTATTTCAACTAAAAACGATCGATTTGTCAGCACACGCCATGAGGTATATATATATATGTATATGTATATGTATATGTATATTTTCTTTCGCAAAAGTTTCGTCGATTATGCGATGAAAAAAAAAATCAAATGAAATATTCACACACATGTGAATAGTGTAATAGTAATAGTAATATTAATAATAATAATAATAATGGTGATGATGAACTTTGTTCTTTCGTGTAAAACGAAGGTAGAAAATATTTTCTTTCTTCGAAAGAGTATGGAAAAAAAAGAAAAAAGAAATGCTCGTTTTTCGTGATAATTATTTTGATAGTATAATCGAGATGTCCTTGACCCGCTTATTTTTTTTTTTCTTTTCTTTTCTTTTCTTTTCTCCCTCAACCGAGATCTCGTTCTCATAATAATCGTTCCTTTTAGTAGGTTTCACGACTTACAAAGAGATCTGACTCAATGAGTATAATCAAAAGGGGATGATGATGACAGAGAGTTCGGTACAATTAGGTGTCAAAAGGGTTCTTTGAAAAGAACAAAATAATAATAATAATAATAAAAAAAATAAAAAAGAAGAAATCAACTCACACAAATAAAATAACAATAATTAAATAGAAGAAATAAAATGAATGAAAATGAATTGACGGACAAATCGATCGATTGAAACGCCGAATTGAAAAACACATTGATAAATTTGAAATCTTCTTTAATTTTATATCATTAATTTTTATTAATAAAATAATTATTGTAATTAGTAGTATTTGTTGTTATTGTTGTTGTTGTTGTTGTTGTTGTTATTGTTGTTGGCGTAGTAGTTGTACGTAGCTTGTGTAACTAATTTGTGTTTACGTAGCTAGTAACACCCACTACTTCTCTCCCCGTATGTCGGTTTTGATTCACTAATCACTAATATCTACTACTACTACTACTACTTCTACTACATTACTACTCTACTACCACTACTACTACTACTACTCTACTACTACTACTTCTGCTACTACGGCTTGAGGCTGTCGCAACATTATCGAGCGGGCGTTAACGATATACCTGCGAATTTCGTGTAAGTATTTGAAAACTCACGAAGACAGTATGTGTAGCTTTATATATATACTATATATACTATATATATATATATATTTCATAACAATATATATTACGCACAAACTCGCACACGTTGTTGTTATTGTTGTTGTTGTTGTTGTTGTTTTGTATTAATATTTATAATAATATTTTAATACTTATATAATTTGTTTCTATTTATACTATATCAACTTTATCACTCGATCTTTCATTTGGGACTTACTCTCTATCACTCTCTGATTTTCTATCTATCTTTCTCTTATCTATTTATCTTATTTATCTTACACACTCGTTCATTTCAATCTTTATTCTATTATTTAATCGCGCGATATCGTTTTAATTTATTTTTATTTGAATATTTATATTATAAATCTCATTAATTTGAAACATTTTTTTATTTTTTTTATTATTCTAACAAACGTGATAATTATATTTATCAACATGAGAATGAAACATACAGAAAAAATATATTTGAAGATTATTTTTACACTATTTTCTAATCACTACATTGATTATGTCTAATTTAAAAAATGATTCTATTCAAATTAATATTTATTAGATATAATGTGTAAAGATGTGAGAGAGAGAGAGAGAGAGAGAGAGAGAGAGAGAGAGAGAAAGAGAATTATGCTAAACCCTAATATTTGATTTTTGACTAAATTTGTACCCACTAATAAACAAATCCTAAACACGAAACGCATGGGGGTGTCAATTGAAAATATTTTCATTCAGTTTACTTTCATTAATAAATGTTTTTTATTCGTTTTGTTGGTATTGTATCGTAGTATTACGTGTATTATCGTTAGTTGGTAGTATTAGTTTTGAATAATTGTGTCAAATGATCGAACGATTTTGGTGTCCATTTTCTCCCTTTAACCAACCACCCCTTAACAACAACAAATAATTTCATCAATATCGAATAAAACAAAATAACAGCACTCAATTATATTATCCATGCCAAAATCGATCGATTGACCTTGTTGTTCGTGTAGTAGTTGTTCGAGATGATTCTCCATCCTATCCTCTGAACCATCCTATTTCAAAAAAAAGAAAAAAGAAAAGATAGAACTTAAAACAATTAAAAAAAAAAAAAAAAAACGAAAAGGAGACAGTGTATTTAACACTAACGCTTCGTCGTAAATAAAAAAAAAAATTAAAAAAAATTTAATAAAAAAATAAAATGACACAAAAGTTTAACGGAGGACCTGGTTGGTGTCTGACCTTGCAGTATCATTATTATAGGGTTTCAAGGGTGAGAGCGGTATTACATTGGCGAGGGGTCCACCCGGCCCACTGGGTCCAAAGGGTGAAAGGGGTTACCGAGGCGAAAAGGGCGCCAAGGGAGTCCAGGGCTCGCCAGGTAGATTACAACGAGGCCATTCTACCGGGGAAACAAAACAAAACAAAAATAACACAAAGACGACACGACATTTTGGGGAAATATGACGAACAAAAAAAAAACACAAATATAAAGTTACGAAGGATAATGTCCCAACAGAGAGAACAAATTATTATGTTATATAATCCCTGAAACAAACCCCAACCCCTTGAACCTTTCGTTCGTCTTATCGGAAATAAATTGTATAAATAAAACGCGTGTTTTGATTTTATTTTTTCATTTTATTGCAACCACGGTAAAAAAAAAAAAATCTTTATGTTTAATTCGTTTTTGAATAATTTGTAAAAATTTAATTCACGTTATTTTTGATTTTTTTCTTTTTTTACCCCACTACTCCTCCCACTGCCAACCCCTTTTTTTTATTCTAATGAATTTGCTCAATTATTATTTTGGTGTTTTTTTTTTTTCGAAGATAATATATTCTCTTCTTTTTTATTCTTCTTCTTTTGATTTTATTTTTTATTTCATATCCGTGGTAAAAGTAATTTCATAAATTCTCTCTCTCTCTCTCTCTCTCTCGGAGAGTATTTTCTTTCTTTTCATATTTTTTTCTTTTTTTGCTTTTTTCATCGTCTCCTCTTTAAATCATAATTAATTGACAGGAAAGTCTCCGAGTAAAAGAAGAAAAAGTGGTAGAGGAAGAAGAAGAAGAAAAAGAAAAAGAAGAAGAAGAAGAAGAAGAAAACAAATTTATATTAAAATAAATTTAAATATAATTTCATTTGCAATTTTTTTCTCAAAATAAACTAAAAAACATTTTAATGATCTATATTATTTCGGGGTGAAGGGGAGGTGAGAGGTATTGGGGGAAAAAAAATGCGGCGCGTACACCCCCAACACACCCCCTACGTACCACGTACATCACCACCACCACCCCCTCTCTCTCTGCGTCGTTCATTAATCTGCTACCCCATGGTATCGTTGGTGGTTCACCGATTGAACCGATTATTACTCTTTGCTTTCAGGACCTAAGGGTGAACAAGGATCTCAGGGTCTGCCAGGATTTAATGGAACCGATGGGGAACCTGGTATACAAGGTCCCCCAGGATTACCGGTACGTGAATTTCATTCCAATTTTTATATCCTTTTATCATTTCTTATTTTTTTTTTTTTTTTTTTTTAATACAAATTTCCAACATAAATAAACGAAGTTCAGTTAGAGATAAATTATTAGAATAAAAATAATATGATACATTGACTATGATTGTTTTAATTGTAAGTAAAATAATTGATATTTTATTTCAATCAAAAATGGATATAAAAATATATTATATTTATATTACTTTTATTATTTATTTATTTTTATTATATTTTTTTATTATTATATTTAATATCGTTATATTATATTGTATATATTATAACATATTATAATATATATTATAATATATTATATTATGTTATAGTATATTAATATAATATATATTATATATATTATAATATATATTATAATATGTTATAATATATAAATATTATATATTATATATTTTTTATTAATATATTTAGTATTTTATTATTTTTATATATTATATATTTTATATATTTTATATAGATATAATATTATATAATATATATATATATATATATATATATGTTTATAGAATCCCCATACGAATTTATCTTAATTTATGTGTATATAAAAATAAAAATAAAAAATAAAAAATCCCCAAAAATGTAGAAATGATGGTATTTAAACCATAATGCAGAGAATAAGCTTGTAAAAAATGCAACAGAGACTGCAGCACGCGTACAAACAAATGTATCTACTTTTAGTATACGTTCATCGTATACTTATACACGCACACACACACGAAACAATTTTTAAGGATAGATAAGAGAACATTTTTACGAGATGACTAAGAAAATATGTAAACACCGTATAACGTATTATCAGACTTTTACGTAAAAGGAGCTTTATCTCTCATCTCTCATGCGTTATCCAGTAGCATAACGTGTTATAGTGTCCTATGTCCCGTAAACGTTATCAAGTGGTGACAAATGATTTAGTGCAGGTAAAACGATCTCGTTTGTCTTTGATTTACAGGGCCTTTCCGGACCCAAAGGTGAGAAAGGCGAGTACGGTGATATCGGACCACCTGGTCTCATGGGACCTCCAGGTTTGCCTGGTCCACCGGTACGTACAAAATAAACTATTGCTCTTTTATTTTATATTATATATTTATTAATAATAATATTATACCATATTATATAATAATAATATATTATTTATATAATTATATTATAATATTATATTATATTTATTATATTATTATTATTATAATATTACAATATATATATATAATAATATAATATATTATAACAATAATATATTATTTATATTTTATAATATTATATTATTCATATTTTATAATATTATAAATTATATTATTTATATTATAATATGTTAATATATAATATTTTATATATAATTATTATGTGTGTAATAATATATTAATATAATATTTCTATGTATTATATATATATATTGTATATTACAATATACATTAATATACTATACATTATAATATATATTAATATAATATTTCTATATATTAATTAAACGTATAAATAAAATATTGCAAAAAAATTCTAATTTTTAATATCGTAAACGTTCTCTCTTCTTTCTTTTTCTATTTCTCGATGAACAGGGTTATCCAGGGTTGAAAGGAGACAAGGGTGAAAAAGGCGAATCGGTGAGTTAATATTTCAACGACTTTCTTTTATTATTATTATTATTATTATTATTACTATTATTATTATAGTTATTATAAATGTCGCGTTAGATGATTAAGGGTGGTTTGTTCTTGGTTATCCTGATCGATTTTATTTTATCATTCGCGATTGACTGACTTTTAGAAGAGAAAATTTAGCTCGAACTCAACCCACAATTTTGTTCGAACGACCACCCACCCCCCATAGCATTCCCCGTTCCATCCCCGTTTGCCAACGATCTAACGATAAAATAAATTTCTTTTCATGGCGGGACAACATCGGGCTTTCTTCCACACCGACAGAAGTACAAAAAGTTGAGAAGAAGGCAGGTACGTGAAAAAGTAGACAGCCCTTATTCGTCTTCCCTTCCTTCCTTCCTTCCTTCCTTCTTTCCTTCCTTTTCTACTTACGATCTAACGTGAAAAAAAAAAATCCTAACGCAAAAACCCCTCTTCGTATAAAATCGAATCTTATATAAGGATCCTTGGCCATCCGATATCAAAAACGTTTTTATCCTACTCGTTTTCTTCTTCTTCCTAACATTAATCTTTATCAAGAGAGAGACTCACCGAAAGGATTTAAATACCTTCAAAACGTTTTCCTTTTTTTTTTCTCTTTTCTTTTTACAGGGTGACGGCACATTCGAAGTCAATGCAGGTGAAGTGGTAAGTGTCCCTTGCTCTTCAGTTTTATTTTATTTTATTTTATTTTCTTCCATTTGTTTTTGTTTTTGTTTTCTGATTTTCTTAACCCTTTTGGTACATTTGACGAATGATACTTTTCATCTGAATTTAAGAAGCTTATATTAATATATTTATTTTGTTTCACTTATATATTTATTTATATTTAGTATTTAAAAATATTTTATATTCAGTAATTATTTATATTTAACTATTATTTATATTTAGTAATTGAAATGTTGTTGCAAAAATATATACTCGCATTTATAATATATATATATATATATATATATATTTAATTATAAAATATAAAATTATATTAAATTTGATTTTTAATTAAATTAAATATTAGATATTAACAAATTTTTATATTAAATTTTTAAATTATAAAATATAAAATTATATTAAATTTGATTTTTAATTAAATTAAATATTAAATATTAAATATTAAAAAATTATTATATTAAATAATAAATTATAAATTATAAAATTTAATTATAGTATAATATTATTATTATATAAAATAAATATATTCCAAATAAAATGTATTACTTTAACATATTAATCCATATAGCAACAAATTAACCATATAAATACATTAATAATAAAAATCTTCAAATAATTCAGTACTCAAACGATTAATATAATATAATCCATAATTATTAATAAATTAATCTAAAACATTATAAATCTTATTATAATTTAATATAATCTGACAAAAAAAAAACAAAATAAAAAGTAAATTGTTAGAAAGATTTTTTCTTCCTTTTGTTTTTTCTTGTTATCATTAGCTACATTATTAAACAAATTATAGGAGTTTATTTATTTACTTGTATATTTTTTTATGGGTAAAAATACTATAATTACAAGTGTATGAATTATTTGTGAGAAATATGGTTGGTAATATATATTCGTATAAAATGTAATTGACAGATTATGGGACCTCCTGGACCACCTGGACCAGCCGGTACTCCTGGATTGCAAGGTCCACCTGGTATCAAGGGCGACAGAGGGCACGACGGCGCCAAGGGTGATCCTGTCAGTAAACTTGTCAAAATTTCTAAAGCCTCGAGAAAATAGTTTTCCCATAGTTAGAGAGGAAAACTCCCCTTCCCCCTCCTCCCTCCTCCTCCCCCCCCAATAGTTCCAAAGTTCACGAACTTTTACTTTTTAACTTCAAGTTTTTAACGTATTGGGTTAATAATTAATTAATTGCTGATTTATTCAATGAAATAAGAGATTTTGTTTTATTATTGAGATAAAAAAAAAAACGTTAAGAAAATATCTACACAATGAACTTGTCAAGCTACGATTAGGATGACGTAAAAAAAAAAAAATAAAAAATAAAAATGGGAGTGAGAGACATCTATAACTAAAATGGGCAGTTACTTAGTTGCCAACCCAATACCATAAATAACATTACATATAATATCTACCAATAGAACATGTTTAAAGAATTCGAATTGTTTTTTTGTTTTTGTTTTTGTTTAAAGTATAATACTTTCGACTATTATAAAAAAAAAAGAAATGAAAAAAATCTCGTTGAGTCGTCATTTTATTTATTTAATTATTTTTTATTCGCAAATCTCAGTTGAGACAAAAATGAAAATACGAAAGAAAATGATAATGAAAAGAAAAATATCGGAAGACTCGAGGGATGGGGAAAAAATAGAGAGAGAGAGAGAGAGAGAGAGAGATTGAGGGGTTGTTGTCAAGTATTCTATTCTCGATGATATTCTCACGCTTTTTTTACTTTTTCTTTCTTCTTCCATTGCAGGGAGAGAAAGGTGCCAAAGGAGATCCTGGTCCAATGGGATTACCCGTACGTATTTTCTCTCAAGATTACGTCCCTAGCTTAGGTAGGTTTTTACTCTATCGTGTTCTATACGTATAAAAAAAAAAAAAACAATAAAAAATAAAAAATAAAAAAAAAACCGAAGGACCAACCAAGTTAGAGTGAGGAGAGGAGGATGAAGTGGAAAACACCACACGACGCGAAAAGATTTTCAAACTTCAACGGTCACGAAAAGAAAATAGATTCCTACCTTCGTCCTTTTTTTTTTCTTCTTCTTCTTCTTCTTCTTAAGAAACTTAATCTTGTGGAAATTCTTGAGAGAAAGGATCGACAGAAGAAAATAAAAAAAAAAAGGAAGAAATGTATCGAATGGGGATTATGGTAAAAGTAAAAAAAAAAAAGAAAGAAAAGGTAGAAAGGAGGGGTTGAAAGGGGGTTGGGTATTTAACCTATCACTTGATTTGATCTTCAGTAATGCATTTGAGATTAAGTCAGATATATAAAATACCATTAAATATGGGTATATTATTATTAACGATTGGATTTTATATGTTGGTCCTAAGAAACGAAGTTTACCACGGAATAAGAGGTATATGTTAATATACTTTAGGTACCTATATACCTACCCCCACTCCTCCCCTCCGTCACATTGGTAATATAGGAAAAGAAAATGTGTAGAAATCGTATAATGCATGATAAATAATACATGAGAGAGAGAAATAGGAAATAGGCGAGAGTACGGAATATTTTTCTTATTCTCATTCGATTTCTCTCTATCATCCTATCATTTCTTCTATCTCTTTTCTTTTTACACGATTGTATATTCCACATTGTTTCTTATTTTTGTTTTTTTGTTTTTTTTTTCTTTATCCTTGTCTTCCATTTCTATTTCGAGTATTTTCTATTTTCTATTTTCTATTTCTGTTTCTGTTACTATTCGAGTTGTTCGAAAAGTAATTTTGTTTTATTCCTGACACAATTTTGACATTAATTGATACAAACTGACAAATAAGAACACGTGAAATTTTGATGAGAGGTTTAATTTATGAAATTTCACTTGATTGGCTTAGGGTTAATTCTTTTACACTTCGTTGGCGCCACTGAAGCGACATTGTCATCTAAGCTGATAGTTTTGCTGTCGCTTCTGTGGTGACACGGCACACCGGCATTTAGATGCAACATTGTATCTTTATAAAAGTAAAAAAATATTTCGGCACATGCTTAGTGTGTGTAATCAGTTTGGTAACCAAGTTTGCTTCATTTCTGTTGATCGTATTTTTGTGTGTAGCGTAAAACGCGAAAAAATGGAAATTGAAAGTGGTGTCATTGTCAAAATGACCCGAAGTTGTTCAACGTTTAACATTGTTTAACATTGTTTAATGTCGGGTTAAAAATTGCTCGGAATTCAAAGGGTTAACCTGGAAGTTATTGTTAAAGGTCTTACCTCGAAGATTTGTTAAAATGAAATTACTTTTCGAACAACTCAATCTTTCTATTTTTCTGTCAGCCTAAGTTTTCCACGTAGGTAGAAGGGACACAACGATGACGACGAAGTTGGGAGTTGTGGAACACACATTTTGTCGTTCTCGATTGTTATCCAGAAACAACATAAACGTCATACGAGTCTTTTTATTTACAGGGCCCCATGGGACTGAGAGGGGAGTCCGGAAAGCCCGGAGATTCCGGGAAACCTGGCGCCATGGTAAGAACGCGGACGTCTCGCTCCTAACGTCATCGTTAATTGGCCTCACCTGTGAATCCTTGAATAGGAAAATTAAACAAAAAGAAAAAGAAAGAAGGAAAGAGAAAGAGAGAGAGAAAGAGAGAGAAAGGGAGAGAGAAAGAGAGAGAGAGAGAGTTTGTATCTGATTCTTCTTCTTCTTCTCCTTCTCTCTCTCTTTCTCTCATACTTTCTCACTTTCTCTTTCTATCTCTTTTTATCTCTCTCTCTTTCTTTCTCTCTCTCTCTCTCTCTCTCTCTCTCTCTCCATCCTTAATAACGGTGTAAAGAAATAAAAAGGGGAATGTGAATGAAAATATTTCAAAGAGAAGGGAGATAAAAATGAAAAAATACAAAAAACGAAAAAAACTATGAGATTGATAACCAAGGGACTTAACAAACACCAGGAAAAAATACAAAGAAAAAATAATAATTCATTAACCAACTAACTAACTACTAACGACGACTAAAGAAAGAAAAATTAATAAAAGGATTGAAAAAAAAAGAAAGAAAAATATAAAGAAGAAATAAATTTGTCGAAGAGGAGAGTCCACATCCACACACTACTACTTATACGAACGCGTTGTTGCTTACGTGCAAAAAATAGATCTATAAAGTAAATAGAAAATAATGATTAAAAAAAAAAAAAAAGAAAAAGACAGTAGAAGATAAAGAAAAAAAAAAAAAAATAAAAATAAAAAATAAAACAGTGTATCGATAAATCTTGCTCAGCAACTCCTCTTATTACAAATTTACGGGAGGTTTCGTGTCGTATTATATTCAACTCGAGTTGTTCCAATCCGTTAACGTAAATCGAAACCTTTTTACTTCTTCTTCTTCTTCTTCTTCTTCTTGTCATTTTAAGCTTTGATGTTGTACATAAAGGAAGGAACAAAACAAAAAGGGTTTTACCGATGACGATGAGAATTCAAACGTGACGGAACGGAATTAACTCGAGTGAGCTCATCGAAATTGTTTTCTTCGAATTCTATACACATATACAACACACGACGTACATAAATACAAAAAATAAAAACATACATAAACACGTATACATATATATATATATTTATATGTTTATTATGTATATGTGGATAGAATGTTTCTTGCGAGAGAATGAGAGTGCGCACACTGAACACCATATCGCTAATATTAATGGATAAGACTTGTTTGGCAAAAACCATCTCACCACTACCACTACCAACCACCCCCTCCCTGGAGTCGTTCGATATGGAAACACGCAAAACGCCAAGCTGACAATTTCCATCTTTGCAATTGGGTTGTGTGTTGTTCCTTTATTTAATCAAAAGAGGAACAAAACACAACTATAACGTTTTCATTGGATTTACTTTCGAATAGAGAAAGATGCATTATACCCACATAGGAAATGCACTTTCAGATATAATAATAATTTACATAAAAAGTATATTACGTATGACTGAATTATATCAACTATGGCAAGTATCGTGCCAATTGTACCACGTGGTGTTGTACGTATTTTCATCGATAAAATAATTGTCGATGTGTTGGTTGAATTATTATTATTATTAACGAGAGAATGGCTATTATTATTATTTGGTCTTCCAATAAGAAAGAGAAAAAAAACCTTACGACGATTTTCAAAATGTTCCAATTTTATAGATATGTCTATTACGTACTTAAAAACAAACACACATATGCAAATATATTTAAACAATTTTGTTTGTCATTCGTCATACACACAGATAAACACACACACACAAACAAATACCTTTTGTCCGTCCTACGAATTACACATCACATTATGTATGGGTTTTATTTAAATTAGTTAAATTGATTTTTTTTTGCTACTTTTTTTTTTATTTTATTCTCATAAAATAACAGCAACTATTTAAATACGTTTTGTTTCTTAATAAAAGATTTTTAATAATAAATCGTAGAGAAGGAAAAAGAAAATTTCGAAATAACTTATATCTCCGCGTGCGATTGCGCAATTTCCTACCTACCAAGCAACCACCCACTCACCCCCCTTTTTTAGTAACTTTGGATCTCATTTTAATTAAATTTGCCATTTGGTTTCATTTAGCTCCTCTTTGTTCTCTCATAACGCGTATTTAATATTTTTCATACTGCTGCTCTTTTCTTTCTTACTTTCTTTCTTACTTTCATACTTCGAAATTAATGAGAATAAAAGAAAAAAAGTATATTACGATACAAATAATTCATTTTCTCAAGCATCATAAGTCAATAAATTATTTATAACACAACTAAAATTAATTTCACTTTAAGATCAAATTTGATCCTATCGAATTTTTTTCTTTAGAAATTTTCTCATTAAAAAAATAAAAAAAATAAAAAATACATAGAAATGTAGTTCGTTCGCAATACGAATTTTGTTGTTTTTGTTTTTTTTTTGAAATATTTCGAAAAATACAATGGAAAAAAAGAGTGGGTGGGGATAGGAGCTTGTATTATTTTTTTGTAATCCTCAACCCCCAACCACCGTTGTTCAATCATTTCAGATTCAAAATCTTTTATTTCTTTTTCCTTTTATATAGACATATATATTTAATTCTGTCCCTTTTCTGTCCCTTTTATAACCAGTATTATTTTCAGACGATCTTTAATGGGCCCCGTAGCGAACGATTACAATCGCAACTTACGTACTTTGTACTTAACAAGAACTCTAACCGATAAAATTCCCGTCACGTAACTGTAATCCAGCCCATTCATAACGATTTCCTTTTACCCCCTCCCCCTGAACCTTTCTGGCAACAACCCCTCTCTGTACTACTTACTACTACTACTACCTTTTCCACTTCTTGGTTTCTCACGCGGCATTCCACTTGCGTATGTCATAAACGAGAAAATGTTACGAAAGAAAAAGGCAATTTATTATTACGCATAATAAACGTTCCTAAATTATTTATGAGAACGTGAGGTGATGGTGTGATGATAAGTATGGTTAGGACTAAGTTTGATACAACCACCATCATCACTCACCATCACTCACAACTAACACCACTCATCACCCATCCATCCAATCCAAAAGGGGGTAATCGCACAAAACTATAATTTATAAACAAATACAAATTAATCGCGAAAAAACAACAAAATATGAATATTTATTTAATATTTTAATTATTTAAATATATATATATGTTTCCAAGCACACAAAAATCAAGCAGCTTCTTTCATCCGATTTATATATAAAAATATAATTAAAAAATAAAAGGAAACTAAGGTTCGAGGCTAACTCGACAAAAAAAATAAATTAATAAATATAATAATAATAATAATAATAATAATAATAATAATAATAATAATAATAATATAAAAAGGCCTAAAAAATAATAGTAATAATAATAATTATTATTATTATTGTAATTACAAAGCTATGACCGAACGAAAGGTATGCGAGTTATTTTATCGCGAAATGAAAAATATTATTATATGTGAGCGCTTGATCCTAGTCATTGTTAAAGTGACGTACAAATAAACAAACAAACATACGAAAAACAAACAAACAGACAATTAAAAATTGAACAAAAGTTTTTAAAGCGAAATTGTACAGTGTAGAATAGGAAAAATGAAATGAAGAAAACGAAATAACCGAATTAAAATTCGATGTTGTATCTTCTTAACAACAAGAACAACAAGAACAACACAACGACAACTGCAACAGAAAATGCAACAACCAAAAACAACCAACTGCAACCAACTGCAACCAACAACGACAACGATTAACGACGACTACGGCTATTAAACTACGAGAGACAATTGACATGTACAATTTCGTTTTTCTAATTTTCTTTATGAGGAGTTATAGCATGTAAGATGGATCGATCGATCATGCCATCATAAAATCGCAGCAGCAACAGCAACAGCATCAGCAACAGCAACAGTAACAGCAACAGCAGCAACAGCATCAGCAGCAACATCAGCGTTTTATTTCTAGTTTTTAAGCGAAACTAATGCGGCGCAAGCGGGCGCAATTAACCAAATTGAAAAATGAAAACAAACAAAAAAAAAACCACAAAACATACAAAAAAAAAAAGAAACAAAAACAAAAGCAAAATAAAAAAAAAATGAAAAAAAAGTTGGACGACGAAGAAGAGGATAAAAAAAAAAAAACAAAAATGATAAAATAGAAGGATGGAAAAAATAAGGGGTTGAAATTGAAATTGAAAAGAAAAGAAAATAAAAGAAAACGGGAAAATAATTTAAAAAAAAAAAAAACAAAATATACACAGAAAAAAGAAAAAAAAGTAATAATATTCTCCTCGATGGTTTTTAATCGTAATAAATGCGTGTAAAAGCTCGTCGTGTATACGCGTGCATATACATACATACACACAGTAAGAGACGTGTATATATATTTTTCTTTCTTTTGTATGTGTATGTCTGTAAATGTAAATACAATAAGAATATACATATAGATATATAAATATATAAATACATATAGAGAAAACAAAATATATATATATATATATATATATATATATATATGTGTATATACACTCGCGTGTGTTTTGACATATACATATATGCGAGCGTAAAATTTAGAATTATCTCCTGCGTGTGTGTTAATTGTTAAGGCGGCGCTAGAAACAGAAAAACAAAAACAAAAACAAAAAAAAATAAAAAATAAAATAGAAAAAAACAAATAAGGGGTAGAAAAAACTAACAAACTACAATAATAATAATAATAATAATTAAAAAAACAATATCAAAAACAATAACAACGACTACGACACAACCTACGACTACGACTATGACGACTACTATGGACAATTAATTACGATGACGATTACGATGATAACGATTTGAATTAACATAAAAGAAAAGGGTATACATATAGAGAAAAAAAATAATAATAAAATAATAATAATAATAATAATAATAATAATATTTAATAATAATAATAATAAGAAAAGTAAAAGAGAAAAAGTGATCGGCGTAAAAATTTGCGTATGTGAATAATAATTGAAAATCTAACAAGTTTTGTTTTACAATGTCCCGATTAATAAACAGAATGTGCATGTGCCTGTGTCCTTTTGCTTTATACACGGTGCCCACCACACCTCGTTAATTAATGCTTCGAACATATTATTCAAAACCCAAACCCAAACCCATTCTCCCTGAACAAACCACCGTCCACGTTGTTTTTTTCGCTTTGCATTTTGTTTCGATTGAAATACGATGATAATGAATATAATTATCACTCTCTCTCTCTCTCTCTCTCTCTCTCTTTATCTCTCTCTCTGTCTCTCTCTGTTTTTCTCTTATTCACAAATGTTTCTTCTCTCTTTCTATTTTTCATTCGTCTTTTAACTTTCTTTCTCTCATCTTTTTTATTTGTTTGTTTGTTTTTTTTTTCTATCAAATTTTTAAATAAAAATAAAAAATAAAAAAAGGTAATGTTTTAATTGACAATAATGTTAAAAAAATATGATGGTGATTGAGAGTAATAATATAATATAAAATTAACACGTGTTAATTTGTTGTGACCATGACGATAACGTAATAATGGGGTGGTGTACACAACCCCTTTATTGGTTACGTTATCGGTTGACACCTTTATTACTGAATATTAATATAAAATTAATTAGTAATAGTAATAGTAGTACTTAGTAACAATTATTGCTGATAAAAATTTGTTTCGGTTAACAATATAAGTCGCGAAAGTAAAAAAAAAAAAAAAAAAGAAAGAAAGAATGATCAAACGAACAATTAATAATTATACATATAATTATTAATAATAATAATCACAGCGAGTATATTATATCTTTTTATTTTATTTTTAATTTTTTGTTTTCTTTTTTTGTTTTTTTTTTTTTTTTTTTTACGATCTCGCATTATCATCGCGTTTTTTAGTTCTCTATTTTTTTTTCTTTATTTTTTTTTTTCTTTTCGTTACCTTATCCTGCGTTCCTTCGATTTCCGTAGATTACGTTTGTTCTTTGCCAAGCTATTAATTATAATCAAAACTTTTCTTTCTTTTCTATTATTAAATTAATAAAAAAAATTAAAAAAAAAAGGAAGAACATTAGCTCGGCAAATTGCAAAAGTAATTTAAAGGTATATTAACACATTGCCGCACAGTTTTAATTTAACAATCGTGTTTAGAAATACGAAGATTGGACGTCGTCTGTATATAGTCGTCATTTGCGGCAACGTGTTAAAAAAGAAAATGAAAGGAATTAAAAAGAAAAGAAAAAAGAAAAAAAACTAATATATCCAAACTTTCTATTCGTTTTTTTTTTTTTTTACAACACGACGAGAATTGTATTCGATATTAACGGTGTCAGACTTCTGTGACGAATCTGACAAACTTTTCTCTGTACCTTTCAGGGACCCTCAGGACTAGACGGCATGAAGGTGAGCAACCCCCGTTGGGCTAATCGTTAAAAAAAAAAAAAAAAAAAACAGCAAAACCAAACAAATCTCATGTCATTTTTGTGTTCGTCAACCTTCGATTTTCACTTAATCGTAATCCGATATTTTGTTTTTTTTTAATCGAATTGAATGAAGAAAAAAAAAGGGATACAATTTTGTCGGAGAAATGGGAGGGAGGGCGGGTCAGGGGGGAGGGGGATGGAAAGAAAGAAAAAAGTATCGCGAATTTGAGAAGTCAGGGGGTGTGCGGTGTTTTTAGTTCGCGCATGCCGCGCGTTGGTGGTTTGTCAGAATTTCTTCTGGTAATTGCAGGGAGCACAAGGAGAACCTGGTACGAAGGGTGAAAGGGGAGATCCAGGATTACCCGTAAGTACAAATTTTTTCCTGTCATAGATTTCGATAGGAAAACTATGGCTTCTTTATTTTATTTTATTTTATTCTCTTGCTTACTCAATTTTAACGCACACAAAACTCTTGTGAAACTTTAATACCTGGTTAGAACAAAAAAAAGAAAAAGAAAGAGAGAAAAAGAGAGAGAGAGAGAGAAAAAAAAAGTGAAATTTTCTTAAGTTATTAACACACGAATTTCCATATTCTAACCATCCGGGTGGTGTCGGCTATCAGAATTATGAAGGAAGACTCGTGAAAGGGTAGAAGCTAACGAGACGATTTATTTTTCCCCAGGGTACCGATGGGATTCCAGGAACGGAGGTACAGTGACACTCTTCTCAATTATCACCTATAACGCTGCCTAGCTCGTCCTTCGATGTAATCACGATACAGTCTAGACCAGGGAGGGAAGGGGGTGAATAAGGAAAAGGGAAAGGGAAAGGAAGTATAACGAAGGGATATGTCCCTAACATGATCCAACCACACCAAACTCCCTGATCACCCTCAACTTCCTCCCTGGAACCCGACTGTCTAGAAAATTGATCGTTTATTTATAATTTGACGTTGCACAAAATACGACGAGGAGAATATTTCGAAAAAAAAAAAAAAGAAAAAAAAAATTAGGAAAACTTTTTTGTTTTCTTATATTTACTTTTTATTATCTTTTTCTCGATAATTTTTTTCTTCCGCAACGTGTGTGTGTGTGTGTGTTTATGTGTATGTGTATGTATGAGTGTGTTTAGTTTGTTTCTCTCTTATCGAACAAAATGAGAGAAATAAAATGTCCGTGGTGTGTTTATCGTTTCGACGAAGGAAAAGAAGAGGAGTGGGGGAAGTAGGACAAGGAAAAAGAACAGAAATGAAAATATAAAATATATAAAAAATAAAAATATATATATATATATAGGGGGAAGAATAAAAAAAGAACTAGGAGAAGCGAGAAAAAGTCATTTCGCGCTAGTTTTACGCGCTTAAGAGTACTACTCAAGGGGATGTAAAAGAAAAAACAGAGAAAAAACCTCGAAAGGTTGAAAAAGTTTAAAACTACTAAAAAACGAACTACTAACAAGTCGCGAACGTAGACTAGAGCATAACGAACGTTAATCTGTTTACTTAATCTTCTTAACATACCACTTTCAGGGACCGAAGGGTGAGAAAGGTGCTAAAGGCGATTGTGTGAGTATCGAATTATTGTTAAGTTCGATTATTTCTTCTTTTTCCCTGTTTTTATTTATTTATTTATTTATTTATTTATTTATTTATTTATTTTTCGTTATTTTGTATGTATTTTCTTATTTTCTTTATTTTTTTTTTTCTCTCTTTTGGTTTCCTTTCCTTTTTTCTTTCTTTAAATAGCCGACGATAATTCGACGAAGCTCTAATGGGGGAGAAAAAAAAAGAACTTCTTATGCATAGAAAATAAATCACGTGTGTGAAATAAACGAACTGTGGATGAGCTCGTGTACATTTATCGAAGAGAAGGAGGAGGAATTGGGGGAAAAATGGGGTAGGGGGAAATGACATTTTTTTTTTTCAAGATAGCAATGCAATTTATAAACGATCAGTGCAAAACGTACAATTTAATCTTACCACACGTTCGCGTATAAAAATATTCAATTTTTTTCTTCACTTTTTATTTTTCTATCTATTTATCTATCTATCTATATATAAAGAAAAAAAGATTGAGAATGAAGCAATTCAAAATAAGAAACGTTTTGCACAGAATACGTACGGACACTCGAAAGGATATCGAAATCCTTCTCATGGACAAAACATATTGAATATAATTATTTTTATATTCACCACCAACCACCCCCTCTCCCCTTGTTTACATGCTGCCACCAGCGTTTTCTACGCTAATTTTCTCAAAAAAAAAATAATAATAATACATATAATTCTTACTAGACGTTGATCTATTACAAAAGATCAAACGTCAATTTAAAATAATTAATCCAAGGAACAAAACTAACTCAACAAAAACAAACAAGAAAATATCTATTTGAATAATAATCTATAAAACGTGATTTGAGAGAAAAAAAATAAAATGAAATAAAATGAGTCAAAGTGATTGCACATTTCTCTCGCGAGTATACGCGGAGGAAAAAAAGAATAATATTATCGCGATGAAATAAATAAATAAATAAATAATAATAAAAAAAAAAAAAAAAAACACAAGAAAAGAAAAGCAATTAACGATTCGTGTGAAAAATCTCTTCGTTCACCCTTCGTAAACAACTCTTCGGCGTATTGTGCACAAGGATATATTACCAACACACAGTATTTATTTATATATAATGCATATTTACATAGATAGTTGTTGTTGTTTTTTTTTTATTCATCTCATGCCTGGCCTTTCTTGCACGCACGTCGCGAAATAAACAAAAAAAAAAGTCCGGCTGCGTTTCGTGAGCAACTATTCTAAAAAAAAAATAATGCACAATAGCGATAGACGACGAGAGAAGATAAAGAAAAAAAAATATAAAAAAGAAAAGAAAAGACACATAATGATAATAAAAAAAAAAAAAAGGGTGACGGGATTTTTGTATATTCGCACAGGGACCACCTGGTAAGAGAGGAAGAAAAGGAGACAAGGGTAACAAAGGTGATCAGGGTGTACCTGGACTAGACGCGCCCTGTCCCCTCGGTCCTGATGGCCTTCCATTACCTGGTTGCGGCTGGAGACCACCTCAGGTACGTTACGGAAATTTTACCTGACTAACGTGACGTGTTTAATCTAACATTACGAAAGAATTTTTGAATATCTCTTATTCACCTCCCTTTTTATATCCTCGTTTCCTTCTATTCGTGTGTGTCATCATTCGTACGATGGAATTTGAATTTTGAAACTTTATCCATTTCGTAAGATCCTTAAGATCTTTAAATAGATATTACTAACCGTCAAGATTTGACGTTTAATCTCCGACTTATGTAAAAGCTTACGTAAGACCACCCCGACATATTTGATAATAATCATTTTGATGGATATATATATGGTAAGAAATCATTTTGTCAGAAATATGAAGAACTTTTCTCAGATTTCATCGTGCGTGTGTCACAAGTACGTCATAGTGAAATAGTAAGTTTCCTATGATCAAGATGGTTAAATGAAGGGTGGGAAAGGGACAGACACGACGATTTAAAAAAAAAATGAAGAAAGGGTGGATAGAATTAAACAAAAGAGATTAAAATTAGTAGAATAAGTATTTTGGAAAGAGAAAAAAGAAAGAAAGAAAAACAAGTCTGACGCACGCTGGGATTCTCGTGTGTGTGTGTGTGTGTGGTCGGCAGGATACGACGAGTACGTCGATGCCAGTGATCGAAGGACCAGAACCCGCGGAAACGGATTACGAGCCGGAAGAGGACTACGACGACTATTCAGATCACAACGGGAACTTAGCGGAGCCATAATGCTCATTGTGCGCTGCTGCCCTACTCACCACCACCACCAACCACCACCACTACTACTACTACAACCACCACCATCACCAACACCCTCATCACACGACTCACCCTGCTCTCCCAAACTAACGTGGTCCTGGTAATTGCAAATCCCGTAGTAAAGACTAACGTCGTTTGCATGAGTGTAGCCCGAAGCCAGAAATCCCGTCGTCGTTTGGGTTTAGGTTCGGGTTCAGTTAAAATGCGTTATGGCTTTAGCGTTCCTCCCTTGGTCCCTCCCCCCAATACGCACGCATATACTTTAAACCCAAAACTTCCGTATGATATATCCCGACGCACAATAGCAAATTTCAACCCTCCTACCTTTGCTGCTGCATGGAATTAAGTTCGCTTGCGGCGTTTCCTTTTTTCTTCTTTTTTTCTTTTCCCTTCTGTTAAACGCTTCTTCTACCGAGAATTTATAGAAACCTTTTTGACTATCGAATAATAAGAAAATAAAGATACACTGAAAGAGTCTGTTGTTACTGCTGCTGCTGCCTAAACGTGATGAATGTTTCTTCTTCTTATTTATGGTTGTTTTATAGTAAATCCTGCACAGTTAATTATTTAAATCCAATCAGCTTGGTTTCTTAATGGCTGCTGTCGCTTTTATAATTGTTTTATGTCATCGAAATATAAAAAAAAAAAATCCTTTATTTTATTTATACGAAATAGATTTATTTATTTTTTTTTTGTTTTAAATACGGCAAGATCGTAATCGAGGCTTGCTTGATGATGATAATGATAAAGTAGTAGTATCTAGAAATATAATTAGAATTGAATTCGATTGTTTTTAGCCAAGAAGTAATATTCTGCGCCAATGGTTGGCGGAGGAGAAGAAAGAGGATAAAGAAGGGCAGTGACACAAATGGTTTACCAAAAGTAGCGCATTTTCATCAAGGACTATCCTATTATAATCCGCGTCGCTAAAACGTACACAGAGAGGAAAATCATCAACCAATGGACTAAAACTCACACACCACCGTATTACGAATTCGACGCGATTGAATTTAGCGATATTTTTCTTTTTATTTTTTTCCCGGCAAACTGCACTAACTACTAATCATCTTGCCAGAGAAGAGGAGTGTTTGTAAATAAGTGTACTTACAAGTGTCTAGCGTCCGCAGTGCGTGTACATAAATAATTAGTTTACTGCTACTATTAGGATCCACGGTGATGATGATGATGATGATGATGGAAAAGATGGGTTAAACCACGATCTCTCTTTTTTTACCTTTCTCTAACAATTTTCATCTAATTTTAATTTGTCAAGCCACTATTATTTTAAAGTTAGTTTAAATGCAACAACGAGAATATAACAGCAAGAACAACATTATTTGAAATATTTCTTACAACGAAGAAAGAGTATTAAAAGAGTGATCGTGATTCTGGTTTTAGCTTCTGTCTTCTGCTGAAGTGTATCATATTATTAATCGATCGAATACGGTGATGCGGTGCAGAGTGCAAGATAAAGAAAGAAAGAGAGAGAGAGAGGGAGAGAGAAAGAGACTCATTTATGTTTTTTCTTCTTTCTCGATGGACAAATAAAACAATAAATAGAGATGATATAGCCAGGATTAAAATAAATATTCTTGCTACGATACATACATAATATCGTCGTATTTCGAAAAAAAAAAAAGGGCTTCGCTATCCTCTACGTGTAATATTTCTGTATGTGTGTATACGTTCTTGATATGCGAGAGAGACTTCCTTCTTCTTGTTACCTGCCATTGTGTCCAGGAAAATACGCTCAAGGATATGCAATAGAATTTGAATACTGCAATAATCACATATGCGATCGGGCTACGCGGTACTTTCAATAACAAAAGGAAAAGAAAAAAAAAAAAGAGAGTTAATTTTATTTGTAACAACGAATTATACGTTGAAAATCCTGTAAAAGTATTTTGTCCTGCGTATTTATTATTAATTTTTATTTTATCGATTTATCTAATTAAATTCTATATCAATTTTGTGCGAATATAAATGTAATAATACGATTAATTTGAAATGATATTTTTATTGACAAATTCTTCCGACTCTTCGCTGATACTACGAGAGAAGAAAAAAAATACAAAGAGAAAAAGAAGAAGAAGAAAAAAAAAAAAAAGAGATTATGTCAGATTTTTATACGAATTTTATTATCATAGTCGCGCACGCAAATCGAAAGAGCGTCGCCGTGCGGCCTCCGCTTTATATCGTCGACCAGAGAAGAGAGTATTTAAATAGTCGCGCTAGTTTTTAAAAACGAACGAAGTTTATCTGTACACATTGTCAATATTAGCGATTAATTATTAAAGAAGAAGAAAAAAAAAAAAGAGAGAAAAAAGAAGAAAAAAGATAAAAAAGAAAGAAAGAAATTAAATTAAATTAAATTAAATTAAGTGTATATGTAATCTCGGAATATATATTCTGCCAATCGTTAACTAGATTCGTGCAGATTTATAAAAAAAAAAAGAAAAAAAAAAAGAAAAAGAATAAACCGTGCTCTCTGCGTGGTAGTAGTCCGAATTATAATTCCGTTTGATGTTTTGATGGGATACAACAGACTGCTTCTACGACGAAGATAAACACAATAAATGCGGATATTAATTGGACTACGATTTTACCCGTCCGCTTTGAAATGTCTCGATCTTCCTTTGATTCGCATGAACAAGCGAATAACCTAATATAGAGAAAACAAAAATTATATATATATATATATGAACATATAATAATACCCGTACTCAAAAAATGAAGATTAAAAGAATGAATCTCTTTTTTTCATTACTTGGAGTATAAGAATTTTGTTGTTAATTATCGCTTATAAGTCTACGACAGTGTATTATATAAACTTAGTTTTGTACCGATTAAATATTTATTATTAATGGTTACAATGATTGTCATTATCAAAGCTTAAGCAATTTGTACTTTTTGAAATACGATTGCACTTCATTCTTAGGATAAGGTTTTGTTACCAGACAAGTTGGAATATTTTCCGGCTGTTCTATCCACAGCTTATGATGGATGTCGTCCTCCTTCAGTTTGGAACACAAAGTATGTAAACCGGCCTCGTCAGATGCCTAAGATGAATATTAGGATTAAATTTTTGTCAAAGCTTATTGTATTTCTTTCATCATTTTATATATGTACAGAATTATATTATATAGTAAACGAGCACAATAATAATAATAATAATAATAATAATAATAATAATAATAATAATAATAATAATAATAATAATAATAATAATAATAATATACGTATTATCTCGAGATATAAATTACAACACACGTATAGAAATATATAAACTTACTTCAAGAACAACTTTATGCATTGAATCCAAATCTGCGAGGTAAGCTTGCGTATTACTATCGTTGTAAAATAAATGAATAACAGCTGTGCATGCGTGACACGCTTGAGCTATTATAGCACCCATCGGCCATCCCAGAGTCTTGGAAAGGTCTCCCCTTACTACGACATACTGAACTAGTCCTGACATTCTAAAAACAAAGAAGAAGATTAATATTAAACAAGTTTCATTTTATTCATCCCAGACTATAACCATCATTTCCATAAATAGAATAAAATTGAGGTTATATTGACCATATGAATTATTGTTATCAAAAAGATAATAGTTGTAATAATTGCATGATATACGATATTCAGTGTAATTATAACATAAACTGTTCATTATTTATCAAAGTTACAAAAATACCTTGCGGTATTATACATATATAAATATATATATAAATATAAATATTATTTTATACCTGTTAATGATAAAATATTTCTATCTGGCCACACATTAATTCCAATATTATAAAACGATATGAGAAATAATGATTCGCTCTGTGGATTGCTTTTTACCATTTCATTGTAATGATCTCAATATATATATATAATCAAAAACTTAATTACACATATCTAATCAATAATTTTTAAACCAATCCTTACTTTTAATTAAACATAATCAATTCACATATTCTTCGAACAATTAATAAGCCGGTGTAAACACGTCCATGACAGTAACTGACAGCTGCGTCATGTATGACACTATGACATAACTAGAACTGAGTAGTTTAAAATTTATCCGCAAGGTGGTGTTCCAGAAAATTGGACTAACCAATCCGGAGTAACGATAACTGCGTTACATGCAGAATAACAGTGATTGGTTAGTTAATAATTTAAAATTTATCCAACAGATGGCATGCTCGATTGTTTAAAAACCAGACTGGACATTTAAAATTTAAATGGCAATAATTATAACGTACGTATTACCGAAATTGGTCAATTTAAAGTTTGAAATTTTTCAGACAGATAGTTTGGTTAAATTTAGAAAAATAAAATAAGACTAATTAATATCACAGATAGCACTGTTATCGCTTATGACAATTCGCACAGTGGGTTACCCTTCATAAGGCGTTATTTGCTGAATAAGTTACGTATGAGACCGGTCACCGGTGCAAATCTACGCTTTCTTTGTTCAACGTTCGTCGAGTTACGTTCTCTCGTCCTTAGAAACCAAGGTAATTAAATTCAATATAAAATAATTTTATTTATCATCGCGAATTATTATAATTGTTCTTAATATTGCGTTATACAGATATTTACATAGATTAAAAAAAAAAACAATAGAATTTATTATTTCAAATTCTAACCCATTTGTATTTTACCGTCCTTTGTTCGAGGTCATGACGTGCCACGAAACCGTTAGAGATATATTACATTTAAAGCGTAGAAAAGAAAATTCATTAGATCGTTCTACTTTTAATTTGTTTAATATTAATAAACAATTCTTACGATCGTATTAATTATTATTCGATTATATATATATATATATTAATGTGCTTATATTAAACGATTTTTACAACCGTTATATTATAAAATGCATTTGTGAAATTTATTAAACATTGGCACGAGAAAGTGGAAGTTCAATAACCCAATGTACAGGTTTTTTTTTTCTTTTATACATACATATATATATCATTTCTAGAAAAAGTTAAATAAACGATAAATCATACTTAATCATTTATTAACTATCTCCCTTATCTTATTAACTCTGATTTTTAATAACAAGTGATTAAGCTTTGCAGTTTACTTTTGTGCTTTAAATTTGAACCTTTGGTTTTGATTTTTATGCGCAGCGGCCCATACACGCACATAAAAATATTAATATCAAATAATTATTATTTAGCATAGAGATAATTTTAATTATAAAATAATTATTTCAAACTTAATACGATGTATATTATTTTACACTGTGCATACATCATCGAAGTTTATTAACTTTACGCAATAATATCAAGTAATTCTTTTGAAAAAAGAAAGCAACCATGGCGTGGTAACAATTATAACCAAATTTGTCTCTTGGTAATTGTAAAAAAGAAAGAAAGAAAAAAAGAAAGAAAAAAAAAGGGAAAAAGTCTAATTTTTTTTTTAATTCTACCAACTCATTATCATGACTCAGAGTATTCTCATTATATTGCGAAATACTTAACAATTATATTGAAATAGTAGTTGTTACGTACAAATTATGACTAATTATATTCAATTTAATCATGTAATCAAATACTTGCTTAGATAAATTTTATAAATTTTAATAAGAAAAAATACAAATACAAATTAAAGAAATAAATTCATGCATTTTCGTTAATCAATAAATTGAACCAACCATTTGTATTTATTTAACAAACAAACAAAAAACTCCCATTAATTATATGTACTTTTTTTTATAGAATTATACATCAATCAAAATGCCGGCTCTACAGAAACCAGCACCACAATTTAGCACAACGGCCGTTGTAAATGGCCAATTCAAAAACGTTTCCCTTTCCGATTACAAGGGTCAATACGTTGTATTATTCTTCTATCCCTTGGACTTGTACGTAATTATAATCATGGTCGTTGTATAATTAGTTTCAATTCGTTTCGAATAATCTAGAGAATTGGAAAATTATATAATGGAAATATCCAGAGTTCTGATTAATCATCTAAGAATGTGAATGAATGTGTATATATATATATTTTTTTTTTCTAATACAAAGATAAGCCACATTGCATGACCGATTAATCGTTCAGATATTTGATTTTTATTTACATTAGAAATATCGAAAGCTTTTTATCGTTTTATTTGAAACTTTTGTTTTCGTAAAATAAACTTCTTCTAATTTATATTTATTTAATGAAATAAATAAAAATAATGAACACATTCGCGACCGCTGACGTGAATTCATGTCATATTTTATATTTTAAAAATTTAATACAATTAAATTTCTATATTATATATTATATAAATTTATATTATTTTATAATTATTATTGTTTTTATTGTTATTATTTTTTATTATTATTTTATTATTACTTTATTAGTATTTTATATTTACATATTTATAAAAATTTTATATATTATAGAATTTTAAAATATTTAAATATAATATTCCAATAATTATATTTTATTATTTAAATAAAAATGTAAATAATATAAACTTATATTTATATATAGAATATATGTAAAAATTA